CTTGCGCTTTTTCTTTCTTTAAAGGCAGTTATTCCGCTTTCTCCTTTTTCTTTTCGTGCTGAGTAAAGATCACCTTGCCAGCATGCTGCCTGAGTGGAGGAGGTTTTGTTAAGTAGTTCCCAGAAAATAAAAAACACGGTAGAATCCCCTCCCTTCCCTCTGAAAGAACCTGAAATCGGGAGGGTATTGGAGAAGCAAATTTCGGCTCTTTAACCGGGATGTGGATGTAGCGCAGTGCCCAGGGTCGTGCCAAGCGTGGCGCAGGGGTCTGCGTGCAGGGGTTGGGGAGCAGATTTGCGTGTCCAGTTTGGGATGTGCAGCCTCACATCTATCTCCGCAGTCATAGTTACATCGGTGCGGCTCTGTCCCTTGGAAGGTGGGTTAAGTTGCAAGCTCAGGGTCTGGGGGTTGCTTTTTTCCTCTTGGCAGCTTGTGGGCTTAGAAGGGTGGTCGGGGCAAAAATCAGCGCAGCGAGAAGCAGGACGCTGAGTCTGACAGGATTTGGATTAAAATGAAGCTGCACTGCTGGATGGTGCCTGATAGCGAAGCGGGTGAAATGTTGACCTGTGAGGGAGCTTTGCAAACTTCATCTTTCCCTGGGGATGCTGCTGCCAGGCTCCCCGCAGAGAGGGCTGTCGTTACGGAGACGCGCGCTCTGAGCGCCCCAGCTGTCCGAGCACCAGGATGCCCCTAAATTTCTCTCCCATCTTCAGGTGGGCAGGAGGTAGTTGGTGAAATGCAGGAGAAAAGCCACCCTTTTGACATGGGGCGAAGATGCCGTGTTGCTGCAGAGGGTGCAGCGTGGCTGTCCCTGAGCACGGCCCGACGGCCCCGTCGTGAGCCGTGCCACCAGCACGCCGGGGCTCAGCAGCTCTTGCAGCATCCTCAGTTTCAGCAGAGGCTTTCGAACTGGGCTGCAACCGCAACGTCTCTCTAAGGAGTCTGAGCGTTTTGCTTTGTTTTTACTTCTTGATCTCGTCTTCTCCTGCTTTTCTGGAAGTCCGGTGGGAAGAGCAGGATCGCACCTGCCCGGGGGCTGGATTGCAATTCCTGCAGGGAGGCACCCAGAGCTTCAGGAGCAATGCCTGTAAAAGTCACTCAGAAGCCTATTTTCATTTAACAGTTAATAAGGAAACACAGGGCTGTGTGTTGGCAGCACGTTGTACTTGCATACTCTTAGAAATACAATGTTTTCTCTAGCTTGTACCTTGCATCTCTAGGTGCGGGCTGTTTACCCTGGGATATTAGTTGCTGAGGATTAAATCTGATTTACCAGATGAGACCAAGGAGAAAGGTAAAACCAATATAAAATAAGAAGAAAAGTTGTTTAGGTCTCATTAGGAAAACATACTCTTTTAAGGGAATGAAGTATGTATCGCTGTCGCTTTGGTTTTCCCTTTTTTCCCTAGTTTAATGTCTGTGGAGATGAGTAGTTATACTCTCCTTTTAATTTTTGCCCTAAAGTCTCACTGTCTTTAAAAGCTTTCAGGATTTTATGCTGAACTAGATTAGTCGTACCAACAGAGTAGGAATCTGCTGGATTTAATGCTTGGGATCTAGTATGTACTTATGAATGAACACTTAAGGAGACATTTAACCCTTCCCATTTCCATCACCTTCTTGCAGCACGCTCACTTGTGTTCGTGCAATTAGACATACAACACGCTAATCAGTTCCAACTAACTAGAAGGAAAAAAAATTGACCAATTTTGTTTTGAACAGTCTTTAAATTTTACATTCTGTTTGGCCGCTTCTCTGCCTGGCATCGCAATTCTTCCTGGTAAATCAATAGTGCGGAAAAGGCATAGTTCAGGCTCCTTACAACATGCAACAATACTGAATCAGTTGGCGGCTTCACTCCACCCCAAAATCTCCAGTGTATTGGACTAAAAATATTCTACTTTCTGTAGTAGAGTGGGCTGGCATATAAACACATCGGCAGCTACGAATCTGTCTGTTGTAGCGAGGTCTAGCTGCAGGGAAAAGAATTTTTTTTTTTTCTTTCTCTCTCTTGCTTCCTAAGATAATCACATCATTGTACAGCCCAGGATTCATTTTGTCTCTTAAAAGATTATATAGCTGGGTCAGAGTTAATCCAGAAATGTATATATAAAGCACCGAGCATGATTACATTCGTGTTCAGTCCGAGTGATTTGTGGATTCCTTTTTTTTTTTCTTTTTTTTCTGTTTAATTGTTGTCTTAGAGGAAGAAATTTCAGTGCAGAGATGGTAGCCTTTTTTCAGCTGCCTTGATAGCAATAATAATCTCTGAGATAAGGCTTAAGGGGGATTAATTCCAAAGTCAATTTGTCGCTCTCGTTCTGGCTATCGAGTGCGTCAGCGGCGCATACAGCCAGCACGGGGGCCAGGCTATAGGTTTGGTTGGGTGAAATGACAGTGGAGGATGTCAGCTGCTAAAAAGATCTGCTTTCTGGCTTTTTAGGCTGTTTTAGACTTTTTTAGACTTTTTTTAGACTTTTCCCTTTCTATGCTTAAAGTTAAGCGTAGTGCTGGAAAAACTTGCCAACTGTTTTGCTGAAGAAACTTTTTGGGGGAGTGAATGGTGAGCCTGATGTTAGCAGCTGTGCAGCAGGACCCAGTTCTCCCCGTCCCCGTCCCTGGGCAGGGGAGCAGAGCAGCCAGCCGCTGCTCCTTCTCTGCGCTCTGCATCTCTGTGGGCTCCTGTCACGCTTCTTTCTGTAACCACTCAGCCTGATGAGATGATGTACGGTTAACTCTTCTGCGCACTTGTAAATAAAATAGGTTTTAGTTTTTTGACTCTTAAATATGACCCACGACAGAGGAGGTTTAATACCAAAATATGCCCAACTCTACAATAACTTTGGGAGGGTCTGGTGCATCTGGTGAAGCATCAGATCTGTGTTTGGGCTGGTGCCTCTGACGGGCAAACTCTGCAGGTGCTGTTTAGCGATTCCTCTGGAAGCAGCCCCAGGTGCTGCAGATAAACCCCACTGCCCTCCCGTCTCACCTGGGGCGCGCCTCACTGCCTCGAGCCCCTGTGAGGGGCTGTGGGTTTCGTCACTCCTGGTGGGTTTGTCTGTGCTGATGGATGCAGGTGAAAACCAGACGTGATGCTGAGCTCCAGCTCCCTTGGTACAGTCAGCTGGGAGGGGGGCATTTTTTTGTACTAATGAGGTGAGTCCCCCTGCTCATCTCCTGCCACAGCGGGATGGTTGTGGCAGCGCTTCTTCCCTTCCAGGCCAGTAATGTGCAGAGATGCTCACACACAAAGTCAGGAGAAGCTCATACACTGCTTGGTGTGGGGGGTTGACCCTGGCTGCCTGCCAGGTGCCCACCAAGCCGCTCTATCACTGCCCTCCTCAGCTGGACAGGGGAGAGAAAATATAACGAAAGGCTCGTGGGTCGAGATAAGGACAGGGCGAGATTATCATGAGCAAAACAGATTCGACTTGGGGAAATTAATTTAATTTATTACCAACCAAATCAGAACAGGGTAATGAGAAATAAAACCAAATCTTAAAACACCTTCCTCCCACCCTTCCCTTCTTCCCGGGCTCAACTTCACTCCTGATTTCTCTACCTCCTCCCCCCCGAGCAGCGCAGGGGGACGGGGAATGGGGGTTGCGGTCAGTGCATCACACGTTGTCACTGCCGCTCCTTCCTCCTCAGGGGGAGGACTCCTCACACTCTTCCCCTGCTCCAGCGTGGGGTCCCTCCCACGGAAGACAGTCCTCCATGAGCTTCTCCAATGTGAGTCCTTCCCACGGGCTGCAGTTCTTCACGAACTGCTCCAGCGTGGGTCCCTTCCACGGGGTGCAGTCCTTCAGGAACAGACTGCTCCAGCGTGGGTCCCCCACGGGGTCACAAGTCCTGCCAGCAAACATGCTCCAGCGTGGGCTCCTCTCTCTCCATGGGGCCACAGGTCCTGCCAGGAGTCTGCTCCAGCGTGGGCTTCCCACGGGGTCACAGCCTCCTTCGAGCGCATCCACCTGTCCTGGCGTAGGGTCCTCCACAGGCTGCAGGTGGGTATCTAGTCCACCATTAACCTGCATGGGCTGCAGGGGGACAGCCTGCCTCACCATGGTCTTCACCACGGGGAATCTGCAGCTCCTTCCCCTCCTTCTTCACTGACCTTGGTGTCTGCAGAGTGGTTTCTCTCACATATTCTCACTCCTCTCTACAGCTGCTGCTGGTGTTGCGCACGTTTTTTTTCCTCCTTCTTAAATACATCATCACAGAGGCGTTACCACCGTCACTGATGGGCTCAGCCTTGGCCAGCAGTGGGTCTGTCTTGGAGCCGGCTGGCATTGGCTCTATCGGACATGGGGGGAGCTTCTAGCAGCTTCTCACAGAAGCCTTAATTATTAGCCCCCCTGCTACCAAAACCTTGCCATGCAAACGCAATGCACTTGGAGATCAGGAGTCGGAAATTATTGGCTTTAGAGGTGCATTGTACTTTTGCAATGATACTTATCTAGAGCATCCTTTCCACTCCTTCATTTCATCACAAGCTTCCCAACCTGCACGGCACACGATGTGGGGGCTCTCTGCCGCACCAAGCAAATAGCACATGCTGTGTCTTGTAGTTCACCAGCAGCCAGGAGGATGGTCCTCGACAAGTCGCTTGGAGATAGAGGCTGGAGACTTGCTTCTTAGTGCCATCGGTTTGTCTTCTGATGGGCTGACTTGCTTCTACTTTGGGCCCTTATGTCTGTTTGCATTTGAGACTTTCTTGGTCTCGTCTTGTAGACAGTGTCTTCCAGGCTTGAGACAGCTTCTCTCAGAGCCTACCAAGTCTGGTTCTTTTTCATAAAAATGTGACTGAATTAGGCAAGAATTATTCTGAGAAAAGAGAGATCCACCACCTATGTGGATCAGAAGGGGCCAAAATGAACATCAAGTTCAGCGGGGAGGCAAACCAGCTCTGTGCAGCAGGTCATAAGTCCAGATTGGAGTTGGACCTTGGGTGTTCGCTGTGGCTCAAGGCATTCTTCAGGTTGAGCAGATGTTTCAGGGTGATGCCCGGGATTCATGTGATGACGATTTTGCCTTGGGCAGTGACCACTCTTCTCTTCGAGATTGTTAATCCTGGACAGGCTCAAGCAATGAGGTCCCAAAGATTTATCGCAAGACCCTGTGTGTCTCCTTTGTGGTTTTCACATGAAGAGGAAGAGGAAGAGGTGGAAATGAATCTAGTGTGTTTTCCGTCAGCTGCCATTGGGATTACTTGTGCAAAGAGTGGTGTGAAGTGCCTCTACACCAATGCATGCAGCACGGGCAACGAACAGGAGGAGCTGGGAGCCACCGTGCTGCTAGAAAGCTACGACCTAGTTGCCATTACTGAAACTTGGTGGAACAAATCCCATGACTGGAGTGTGGCTATCGATGGCTACAAGCTGTTCAGAAGGGACAGGCAAGGAAGGAGGGGCGGAGGGGTTGCCCCCCATAGAGGCAATATCCTATTCTTTGGATGCAAAGAATAATAAGAAGGGCTTCTACAGGTATGTCAGCCAGAAAAGGAAGGCCAAAGAAACTGTACCCCCCTTGATGAGCAAGACTGGCAAACTGGTAACAACGAACGAGGAGAAAGCTGAGGTACTCAACAACTTTTTTGCCTCAGTCTTCACTGCAACCTCTCTTCCCACACCTCTTGAGTGGACGGGCTGCAAGACAGGGACTGGGGGGAGCAAAGTTCCTCCCACTGTAAGAGAAGATTAGGTTCATGACCACCTGAGGAACCTGAACATACATAAGTCTATGGGACCTGACGTGATACATCCCAGAGTCCTGAGGGAATTGGCTGATGTGT